CTACACTGAAATGAGCCCACGCAAAAATTCAATTGAATTTTACATTATTTTACCTCCAAACTGGTTTTCTACTCTCGACTGGTCTGTAGCTTCTAGCTTACTCGATTCTCATCCGCATCACCAACGGGATTCGAACTCAGATCGTTTACGCAGATTGACGACATGACGTCTAACTCTAGTTTGTCAGAAGGAAAATGCAATTTTCGAAGCAAGCCGGGTCTCCAGAAGTGTGCTGGAATTGTTGATAAGTCAATCTTGAATTTGTTACTGCATTCATCATGCTACTTAAAACGAAGTGAGTAAATTTGGAGACTTTCACTAAGCCTACAAGAAAGCATTATTGAAGACAATTTCAGTTGATTCAATTCGCGTGCAGTTTTGACCTTGCCTCATTGTATCTTGTCTCCACCCAAAACTGGATTTCAGCCTGGATCGTGGTTGTCGTAGCGATATTAACACTCCATTGCATAGCCACAGGTTCTAGTGTGTCACGGTGTGAACATGAAATTCAAAACAAGCCAAACCTTACTCAAATCACATTTTTGTAGTGAACTCGTCGATTAAACAAACATTCGTTTAGCATTTCGAAGGACGACATTACCTATTTTTGCTGAAAGCAGTTTTCGAGACTAGCAGAAACTTTTTGTAAATGTTTTTGGGAAATTCCTCAAAGATTAAATTCGTATTCACATACTACTTATATCCTTGAAAGCTACTTATACCGAAAATGAAATTGAGATTGTTCAGGGCTTTGGCTAGCCTATAATCCATCTCCCAATTGACATGGAGGGCAATAAGTCAAAAGGTCACAAACACAACAAATCTCCCGAGATCCCTTTTTCGTCCCGATCCTAAACATCTTTATAGCCAGTTCTTGAGTCATCGTGACGGAGCGGCGCCCGAGTCATGCAGACGATCCGGAGGAATCCGAATTCGAGTCGAAAATCGCACCAAGTGGACAGACCCGTCCAGATGGGGCCTGTAAGTGGCCAAGGTTTCAGCCTATGCCGAATGAGAAAACCCTTCCTCGAGGAATCTTTTTGGACGATAAAGTGGGTAAAACGGTTTTCTTTTCCACACCTCGAGACTACCACATTCGGCGCTCCGTTCATTTCGTCTGAAAAGCGTAAAGAGGAGAAACTGAGGCAGATGTGAATGTTGACTTATGCTGAAGTATTTTTAGCACAAATTTCCAAACTCCGACAGAATTTGAAGGCATGCTCGCGATATTTTCACCAAGCACCACCAACAACAGCATTCATGACTACAAGACATTCATTTGTCAATCCATTCAGATCAACCGAATGGTACAACAACATCA